CGATGCAACGCTCGCTTCGAGGCAAATTTTTGTTCGCCCCTTGAGAAACGTCTCGAAGGTGAAATGAATCTTGTCTAAAATTTGCTTGATTTACTTGAGAGCCGAGTTTCTCTTTTTCATCTCGGATGAAATTCGTTCGAGCAAACGATTATTTGATTTGGACCTCTGCTGAGTTATGTTTTAAGTAACGATGATAAATTTGTTGAAACGATTCTTTATTCCAAGTGAAATTTGCCCGATCCTGGAATAGGAAATTCCAAATAGTATCAACTTTTGATAAATGTTTCCTACCTTTCTCAGGTCTTACAAAGATATGATTGATCGTTCCTGATGATTTTTTAAGATCTTCAATCTTCAAGGACGTGTGTTTTATGTCATTGCAGCTTAGAAATTATCATCGAAAAATCACTTTAAATAATTTTATGCTTCTCTCTTTTCTTCTTTTTTAACCTGTTTCCGGTAATTACCCACATTACAGTTCGTAGGTTTCTTGATTATAGCTCTCCCGTGACTTGTTAAGTACGTACTCTCGAACTCTTTTTCTCCTCCGTCGAATATATTCAGAATTATAATAATTAACGTATGAGAGAATTGAGAAAACTGTAAGAAGGGATCGTTAAATTGACAACTCGTCATCGAACCGAACAATTATATTACTGTTTCGTTAAATATCCTACTGAATGTCCAAGTTAAACTAAATCAAAATTAGATAAAAATCTCTATATTGAGTTCGATAATTTGAGATGTTCATGATTATTTCCGAGTTCCATGAGTTTTATAATGATTTTTCATTACGGTTTTATTCTTGTATAATAATTACTATAATACGATACAGGAGGAAAAAATTGACAATAGATAATAAATAAAAATTGATTAAGATTAAACTGAAATTCCCAGATTTTCAAGTTAAATCCAGAATTTTCAATGTTTAGTGAAATAGCATCGATGACTGTTCAATCTGCAATTCGGTGGTAAGTTCTGCCAATCTCTCGACATGTTCGACACACGAGGCAAAGATTAAGCGTGATAAATAAAATTCAGTTCCTCCGTCGAATTAATTAAAATCAATCAAAATTAAAAAAAAAAAGAAAGAAAATGAAATCCCGAAGTTTCTAAATTAAATAGAAAAGCCAAGTCAGAAAGACAAGTTTATATTAAATTAAAATATATTATATCTATATATTAAAATTAAAATATATTAAAATTTATATTATCACAATTCCCAAGTGTCAACTATTATCAATAGTAATACTAATATTTTTAATCATCCGTTCGAAACACTTGTACCTTCCCTTTGCAAACTCGCGTTAAGACGACTTTGTTAAAATTCGTTGGATGATTTGGTCTGATAATAATAATAATCAACAGTACGATAATAATTAATTACATTCTCTTAATAATAATTCTCTTTTTTTTTTTTTTATCTATATCGTTCAACGTCATATTCGCCGCGTTGACAGCGCTAGTGATTAAATTGTTGTTATGAAAGAAAGATTTGACAAATCGCGAAAAACAGAGAAACGCGGGGTGAAAGAAGGCTAGAAAGTAATACTACACGAAAGTCGCTGTACGTTTTCGAACGATCGAGCGGTGAAAAAAATTGCACGAGAAAAATATCCGCAAGACGCTCGAGCAAATTCAGCGAATTTCACTCGGAGCGATGTGTGTAAGGATCTATCGCATTGTTTCGGAGGTCTCTCAAACAAAACACGAAGCCCAAGCCTTGGCTATAAACCTATCATTTCCCTGTTCATTATAACGATTACCTGCTGACGGAGGGACGGCGAGGCTGAACGAGGGTGAGCGAGGGAGGGAGGGACCCGGTGAAAATAATGATTGAAAATAACAGGAATCACATAAACGTGCAATCACGTGCACCGTCGAGGGATACCGAGAGTTGTCGGAAATGATCACAGATTTCAGGGCAGTGTGATCATCCGGCTCGAAGACAAGCATTACGCTAATGACCTCCATTATCCTCAGATTATAGAATTATAACGCTGTTGCAATAAATTATTCGACCCTGCGTCCCCGCGATCGTCGGGCCCCCTCACCACCCCCGCTCTGCCAATCTACTTTACATCGACGCGAAGAAATTTAAATAAATTATGCATGAAACGCAGTAATATTCTGCCTCGTTTCTGGCGTTGATCGTGTGTTGCACGCAAGCTGAACGTTGTTTGGATATCAGAAATACCCTGTCATCGGGTTAGCTAGGTATTTCGAACGTGTCAGCGTGTTTAATCAACGCTGCTCGATCTCATAGGTATATCATTTATATTCTAAACTCGCTGTGATCTAGGTTCGTTCGTAAAGTTTGGAACTTCTGCTTTCGCAGAAACGATAAGATTCACTTTGCATCTAACATATATATGGAATATATATAGATATAATTTAAAATTGACTTCCAAGGTGAATGAGATTCGAGTCTTCTCTTTGTATTCTGGGAAATATATTTAATCCTTAATATTGTAGCATTATACGAATTGGAGTCAGTTATGCTCTTTCGTAGATATATATTTTTGTAATGTGTACAAACTTTTAGTCTTCACCATTAAGTACAAAATTTGCGAAACTTTTTTCTTTTGTTTCAATTAAAAATTGTTCTATCTTTTGAAATTAATTTCAACTAATAATTAAGACAAGATTTACATTTAATCTTGATATAATTCTATACATTATATTTATATTATTATAAATTGGATTATATGGATAACAATGATGATATTAAAAGTATAAATTAATTTTAACACATTGGAAGGTTAAAATAAACTTCTCAATCTTAATTTGTTAGCACCTTTACAATATCGTATATAACTTGAAATTTTTTGCTCAAATAAAGTTGAAGAGGTATATTTATAAAAATTATAAAAATTATTATTACATCATACAATTGTACATTGTATAATTTCTTTTAAATTCTAGATTTAAAACACTGATGTGTTAATTTGGAATAATTACTTGCAACTAGTGTTGACTCTCTTCCCTTACATTGCGAATATTATATAATTTATTTATGAATACAGCAATTCACAAAAGTCGAGCATATTTTCCAACGTTGTACATCTGTATTTTTCCATTTGTATAAATAAAAAAATATATTACACTGTTTGCACAAACTACGAGCAAAAGTGCTTTCGGTGACAGAAATTCTGCCCCACCCCTCCCCCTCGCCCCGTAGTCAGCTAAAAAGCATCGCCC